ATTTGAGAGTGAGCCTGAGGGGCTGATACTATGCTGAGTGACTGATACTGAGCCCGAGGGGCTGATACTATTCTGAGAGCGATCTGAGAGAGAGAGAGAGAGAGAGAGAGCCCGAGGGGCTGAGAGTGTTCTGTGAGTGAGCCGGAGGGCTGGTACTGTTTTGGAGATATTGCCCGAGGGGCGAACTTTTATTTTGCTCATCTTACATATTTATTTGCCTTTTTACCTGTTATGCTGTGGTATTTGTGCCCGAGGGGCGAATCTTCTGTGCTTATCGGCACTAACTGTTTTGAAATCATTTCGTAACTGTTGTAAATATCATTTTCAAAAGAGATTTAAACTGAGCCAAAATATTTCTAAGGATTTCACAGCTTCACTGCTTTCTCAAAGGATTGTACACTCCTTCTATACAACATGTTGGTTGCTTTACGTGATTTCTTACTGCTCAGTTGTTATTTACCTTTATTACTCACTGAGTTGGAGTACTCACTTTACTCCCTGCACCTCGTGTGCAGATGCAGGTATGTGACGATCCGGCCGGTCGTCTCATGAGTTACCGCTCCGTTTTCCCCATTTCTGCTTCTATTTGCTTTGTTTGTCGGTTCTATAGGTGATCGGGTTGGTTGGCTCGGGTTCGGAAAGGTTTTGAGAAGGTTTGAGACACTTAGTCTCTTTTAAGAAAGCTTAAGTTGGAAAAGTCAACCAGATGTTGACTTATGTGTTAGAGGGCTCGGTTGTGAGGTCCGACGGTTCGGATAGCTTCGGGAGATGATTTGGGACTTAGGAGCGTGATCGAAATGTGTTTTGGAGGTCCGGAGTAGATTTAGGCTTGAATTGGCGAAATTGAGTTTTTGGCGTTTTCCGGTTGATAGGTGAGATTTTGATATAGGGGTCGGGATAGAATTCCGAGAGTTGCAGTAGCTGCCTTATGTCATTATGGATGTGTGTGCAAAATATCAGGTCATTCGGACGTGGTTTGGTATACTTTTTGATCAAAAGCGGAATTCGGAAGATTTTAGAGCCTTAGGCTTGAATTCGATGTGTTTTGGTTGTTTGGATGTTGTTTGAGGTGTTTTGAAGGTTGGTATAAGTTTGAATGGTAGCATAAGGCTTGTTGGTGCTTTTGGTTGAGGTCATGGGGGCCTCGGGGTGATTTCGGATGGTTGGCGGAAAGATTTGGAGTTGGTTGTGACAGCTGAAGTTTCCCATTGCTGTCATAACCGCACCTGCGGTAGGGGACCGCAGGTGCGGTCTCGCAAAAACGAGATTTTAATCGCAAAAGCGGATAGGGCCTGGGAAGGCAGAAATCGCAGAAGTGGTTGAAGAACCGCACCTACGATGGCGCAGGTGCGGATGGTGCATCGCAGATGCGGAATTTGGTCGAATAAGTGGAAACCGCAGGTGCGGCGCTTGGGACCGCAGAAGCAGTTACGCAGGTGCGATATCAGGACCGCAGGTGCGAAAAGCCTGGGTCAGAATGTATATATTTCTTCCTTCGCGATTTTCAAAGGGTTTCACCATTTTTAAACGCGAATGTTGGAGTTTTGGGCGATTTTGAAGAGAGAATTCAAGGAGACTTCACTGAGGTAAGGTTTTGGATTATCAAAACTCATTTCTATGGTATTAATTCACGGATTAGAGCTGTAATTAACGTAGAATTTGAGGAACTAGGGCTTGGAAACTTAGGCCTTTGATTGAGAATTTGAAGGACCATTTGTGGTCGGATTTTGGAACTTTTGATATGTATGAACTCGTGGGGAGATAAGGAATCTAATAACGTAAAATTTATCGAATTCCGAGACGTGGGCCCGGGGTTGGGTTTTGTTTAATTTCGGGAATTTCATTGTTTTTCAATTGTTTTCTAGTGGGCTTTGTCCCTTTAGCATAATTTGATGGTTACGTTCTGATTTTGGTAGATTCGGAGCATCCGGAGGCCGATTCGAGGGGCAAAGGCATTACGAGTTAGAGTTTAGGCTGGATTGAGGTGAGTAATGATTTTAAATGTTATCCTGAGAGTATGAAACCCCGGATTACACAGCGTTAGGCTATATTGAGGTGACGCACACGCTAGATGACGAGCGTGGGGTCATGCACCGTTGGGGATTGTGACTTAGTCCATTCCGTATGGTTGTTTTACTGCGTAGTTGACTGCAAATTGTCTGATATTATCATGTTTTGGGCTAATGCCATATTTGGGCTTCGAGCCAACTGTTTGAACCCTTAGGGCATATTTACTGCTATTTTCCTCACTGTTATGACTCTACACTTGTACTCAGTCATGTTATATTTAACTGTTTTCACAACTCAGCCATGTTTACTCTATTTTAACACTTTAAATGATATTTTAAAAAGATATTTTGAGCTGAGTATCATTTTTTACGGTTGTCCGAGGGGCTTATGAGATTCTGACTGAGTAAGGTCGAGGGCCTGTATTGTGAGGTTACTTATGGGTCGGGCTGCACGCCGCAGCGGTGATATACTGATTATGATAATAAGGCCGAGGGCCTGAGATTGTACGCCACGAGGTGTCTTGTGATTGACATGAGGCCGAGAGCCTGTTTATGATGCCACGAGATGGCTTGATATTGCGCTTGGGCCGTAAGGGGTCCCTCTCGGAGTCTGTACACCCCCAGTGAGCGCGGGTACCCATTGTGATATGAGATATAGCCCGAGGGGCTGGTATTGTTCTATGATATTGCCCGAGGGGCTGATTCTGTTGTTGTTATTGAGCCCGAGGGGCGGTTCTTGTGTGTTTACCTTTCTAGCTGCTTTTCTTTTATTTGTTTAACTATTTAAAAGGTGTTTTCTGGGACTTCACTGTTTAATTGTGTTTACTGTTTTTGGTTTGCCTCTTATAGCTTATTGTTGTGGTTAACGTGATTTTATATCGCTCAGTCTTCATTTATTGTTATTACTCACTGAGTTGGAGTACTCACTTTACTCCTTGCACCCCTGTGTGCAGATTCGGGCGCTACAGGTCCTGCTAGCGAGGGTTGAGAGCTGTCCAGCAGATTCCGGAGATTCACTAGGTAGCTGCCAGGCGATTCGCAGCCCAGTGCATTCTCCCTCTATCTTATTTCCTTTCTGATTCAGTTATGTAGTAGTGGAGTAGACTTTCAGACTTGTAGTATTATTTTTGATGCTCATGACTGGTGACACCCCGATGTCGGGCTGTGTTGGTTTTAATTCCACAATTTGTACTGTTCACTGTTTATTTTTTGGGATTTTAATTCTGTTAAAGACTTAGTATTTATTAATTTAATTACTTAAAGTGAATTGGAAGTGTGTCGGCTGACCTTGTCTTCACGAGAGGCGCCATCACGACCGGGTCCGGGTTTAGGGTCGTGACATGATAGATGCCTCATTATTTAGGATTAAAACAAGAATCCTTATTCTAATTTTCTTTGTTTTTGTTCTACGATAATATAATGCATATAATTTTCTCTTAATTTTTGTGTGTGAGAGAGTAAAGACATTTCACTGCTATACAAACAAAAAGAAGCTTCTTTGAGTTTTCATTTATTGATGGCCGGATGATGATTTTTACTATTTTGATTAGACATTGCATAGAACAGGAGGGGAAGAATATCTATTATTCAAAGTTGAGAGAGGTATTTGATTTTTAAAATGAACTTGGAAGGGAAAAAATAGTTTTCAGCCTATAACTAATTGTTGACTAATGGGTGTCTCATTTCTCTTTTTATTTTTAAATTAATACAAATAGATAAGAATTAAGAATGTAGGAGATAATGTCTAAAATATCAAGTGGATCTTTGTGGACTGAAAGCTAAAATAATGAAGCTGTCGTCTATCTAGAAAATTAAAACTTTTGAAAAAATCCACTTTCAGGTAGCATTGTCCAACTTTTGACAAGAAACTCAATTATTGCTCAAACATAGATATCTAATTTTGGTAAATATAATACTTCCTCCGGTTCACTTTAATTAATCTTTTTCATTGTTTTCATACATTTTAAGGAATTCGCTTTATATTATTAATTAATAATAAAATTAACCATATTAATTTTTATTATCTTTTTAATTTGTTCATTGGAAATATGATAGATAGTCTGAGACTCTTTATTCCAACGACAACTTTAGTTAAAAAAAAATTTATTTCTTGTTGATATCTGAAAAAATTAAATACCATACATTACAACAACAACAAAAAATGAGGCAAAAAAATTAATTAAAGTGGAAGTACGAAAAAAGCAAAATGCCGACAGATATTTGAAACTAGCCACGAGAATTTAGACAATCTTTATGGACACTTATTTTAGGTTCTTTAAACGACATTTTTTTTTATAATGGAGTACGGACATAAATAAGAAAAAATAGTTCACCAAAAGGTTACATCTAAATTTCGTTGTTTTAGCAACAAAAAAAAAAAAAAAAAAAAAAAAAAAAAAAAAAATCAGATGAGTGGATGACTTGGTCTTCTATATTTGCTTATATATTCATAGAAAATCTCACTTTCATTGCACATAAATAACTATTGAGTATATTATTATTGATTTATGTAATGCAATGCATTCAATAGTTTAGTTAGTTAGTGTATGTACAGTTAGTCATAGTCAATGTATTAGCTTTAGTCATAGTCAATGTATATACATACACACATACGTGTACTGTTCAACTTAATAGATGAAATAATATTCATTGGAAATATCTCTGCTTCTCCACTCTTTCTTCTCTTCTCTGTTCTCTCAAAACATTCTAGAGAACTCCATGGGAGCTTCATCCATTCAAGCTCTCACATGCAATTTTGATATGGTATCAGAGCGAGGACGTTAGCTCAGACTCCGTCAACATCTTTCAAATATCGATCGAAGTTTCATTCGTTTCATTCCGTCAAATTTCTAGGGTTTGGTAGCTATCGCCCAAATCTACCGTCAATTTTAGGGCTTTGGCAATTGTCACTCGTTTTTGGAGGCGTTTCTCTTACAGATAATCTCAAGTCTAGTCAAGCTCCATCAGATTCATTAGATCGAAGTTTTGAATATGGCTGTCGATCAACCCGGAGATACAACTTCTGGCTCGAGCAGGAATGATCAATTGGCCATCGATACAGGTAATCCCCTCTATATTCACCCTTCAGATAGTCCCGGAATGGCTTTGGTACCAGCTCCATTCGATGGAACTGGATATCGCTCCTGGAGAAGAAGCGCTTTGCGAGCCCTATCAGTTAAAAATAAATTAGGGTTCATTACCGGAGAACTTAGGAAACCTAGTTCTAATTCACCTCAGTTTCGATTATGGGAGAGGTGCGATAACATGGTAACCTCGTGGATTCTCAACTCCCTTGCCAAGGAAATATCTGATAGCGTAGAGTATGTAAATGACTCAGTGGAACTCTGGAGAGAATTAGAGGATCGATATGATCAGACGAATGGGGCAAAATTGTATCAGATTCAGAAAGAGATCAATGATCTAATGCAAGGTTCCCTAGACATCACTACATATTATACAAGGATGAAGAAATTGTGGGAAGAATTGAATACCTTAAGTGCCAAATCTCAGTGCACTTGCAATTGCACTTGTGGAGCAAAAGAAACCATGCACAAAGCAGAACAGGATCGACGGCTTATCCAGTTTCTAATGGGGTTGAACGAGGTCTACACAATAGTGCGAGGAAGTATTCTCATGATGAAGCCACTGCCCTCTATGGCACAGGCTTTCTCACTACTGATTCAAGAGGAGAAACAAAGGGAATTCAAGCCTACTAGTCAGTTAAGTCTGGATTCTACTTCATTACATGTAAATGCAAACTCACAAAATCCAAATCCATTTGGGGCTAGAAATTTTAAAACACACTATACACCTAATAACAACAACAGAGGTCGACCATTCTGTGATTATTGCAAAAGACCAGGACATACAAAGGAAAAATGCTACAAGTTACATGGATATCCTCAAGGGAACTCTTATAATAACCAAAATTCCAATCGCTACAACACCAATCCTCAGTCGTATAATCAAGAAAACAGTCAGAGCTGCAGGTTCAACAAAGGGAAAGGGGCTGTGGCTAATGTGCATGGGACCCCAGCTGACATGATTCATGAGAATGTGAATGAACAAGAACCACAAGATGGTAATCAGAATCTCAACCTCACAAAGGAGCAGTATGGGCAGATAATGAATCTGCTGCAGCACTTCCAAATAGGACATGCAGGAGGTTCCCCTAGCAACTTGGATGTCACAAGTGGCAGTGCCAACTTTGCAGGTATTGTTGTCTGTACTTCCTCCATTGATTTTGACAAACCTTCATGCAAATGTTTTGAATCAAAAGCTGATCTTTGGATTATAGACTCAGGAGCATCCAATCATATGACCTTTAACAAGCATGCACTTAGTAATGTCACCAAATTACCCTATCCTTTATTAATAAGCCTACCAAATGGATATAGAGTAAAGGTTCTTGAATTTGGAGATGTGATACTTTCTTCAGAAATTGTTCTGCATAGGGTCCTTTATGTCCCATCTTTCAAGTACAACTTGATTTCTGTTCATTCTCTTACAGTACACCTTAGATGTATTGTGTTCTTCAGTAATACTCTTTGTCTGATGCAGGCCCCTTCAGTGAAGAGGCCTCAGGTGATTGGTAGTAGCAAAGAAGGTCTATATTACCTCTGTTCCAGGTGTTTGAAGGGTAAAAGAAATGTCTTACCTTCTGTTGTTTCATCCTCTTATTGCAAGTGCATTCCTGTTTCTCATTTTCCTAGTAGTCATGAGTCTGTAGGTCATATTCATTCATGTCATACTTCTCAAAATGTAAATACTTCCACTCCAATCAATAAGAATGAGTCTTCTTTTGTGTCTGATAAATGTGATGTAAACTCTCTATGGCATAATAGGCTTGGCCATGTTCCTTTTATTAAAATGAAGGGGATATCCTCCATCCCAGTTAAATTTTCACCCAGACAACCCTTTATATGCCCTATATGCCCCATGGCAAGGCAAACCAGACTACCTTTTTCCCAAAGAACCAGCACTACCTCCAGGTTGTTTGAATTAGTTCACATGGATATATGGGGACCTTACCATGTCACAACCCATAATAACTACGAATATTTTCTTACATTAGTGGATGACTTCAGTAGATCCACTTGGACACACCTGTTAAGCTGCAAAAGCAATGCCCTTCAAGCATTAAAAGCCTTTGTAACCATGATTGAAAATCAGTTCAACACCTCCATAAAGGCCATCAGATCTGATAATGGCCTAGAATTCACCAACCATGAAGCCTTTTCATTTTATCAGTCTAAAGGGATCATACATCAGAAAATATGTCCCTACACACCACAACAAAATGGTGTGGTAGAAAGAAAATATAAATACCTACTTGAGACTGCCAGGGCTCTCATGTTTCAATCCAAACTTCCAACCAAATATTGGGGAGAATGCATCTTAACAGCAACTTATTTGATAAACAGGCTGCCCACCACCTACCTCAATAACAAGTGCCCTTTTGAGCTGTTATACAAAAAGAAACCTCTTTATTCCCATTTAAAAAGCTTTGGTTGCTTATGTTATCCCACTTTACCCAAAATACATAGAGACAAACTTGAACCAAGAACCACTCCTCACATTTTTATAGGCTATCCCTTTGGAACAAAAGGATACAAGGTACTGAGCCTAGTTACCAAGAGAATTCACATCTCTAGAGATGTAATCTTTCATGAAAATATCTTTCCTTTTTCCCTAAGTTCTGAAAATGTTTCTTTTCCTGCTGTCCTTAGAAGAGTCTCTTTTCCTAATTATATTGAAGATAGTAGTCAAGCTCTACCTATGGATTCAGGACAAAGATCTGTTGGTATCACACCTCCAGAGACAGAACATGATACTCATGATATACCATCTCCTACCATCACTGAACCTCCTTCCATCAATGAGAACAATCTACAACTTTCACCTTCTAATGATACACACACTTATAACACCACATCTTAGGAAATCAAGCAGAAGTCACCAAATCCCCACTTATCTACAAGACTATGTTTACCAATTACCCAATAGTAATTCTTCTGCTCAGTTTTCCAGTTCTTCCTCTTCACTAAAAGCCCTATTTTCCAATCATCACCACATTACTCCTGCTTCCCTATCTTCTGAAAGTAGCTCTTGATACAAAATGTATTCCATGATAGTGAGCCTTCTTCATATGAGGAGGCAGCCCTCAATCCTGCTTGGCAGGCAGCAATGACACTAGAATTTGAGGCACTTCATGCTAACCACACTTGGGATTTAGTCCCTCTGCCAATTGGCAAGCAAGCAATAGGTTGTAGATGGGTATATAAAATCAAACATAGAGCTGATGGAAGTGTTGAAAGATTCAAAGCTAGATTAGTGATAAAAGGTTATACTCAACAGGCTGGGATTGACTATACAGAAACCTTCTCCCCTGTGGTGAAAATGACAACTGTTAGAGCATTAATTACAGTAGCTGTTAAGAAGGGGTGGGATATATTTCAACTAGATGTAACAATGCATTCCTCCATGGAGACTTGAATAAGGAAGTCTATATGGAACCCCCTCCTGGGCTGGTAGTAAATCAGCAGGAAAAGTTGTGTGTAGATTAAATAAGTCCCTCTATGGACTTAAGCAGGCTAGTAGACAGTGGTATGCTAAATTGACTGAAGCACTGTCCACAAAAGGGTACCAACATTCTGAAAATGACCATTCCTTGTTCTGCAAGAAGACTCCTACTTCTGTTATCTTTGTGGGTGTGTATGTTGATGATGTTATAATCACTAGGACTGATCCAGCAGAGATTGCATACTTGAAGGCCTTCCTAGACCAACAGTTTAAAATTAAGGACCTGGGAAAACTGCATTACTTCTTGGGATTAGAGGTTCTATACAAGCCAGATGGGATTCTTATTTCTCAAAGAAAGTTTGCCCTAGACTTGTTGAAAGAATATCAAGTGTATGACTACAGTAGTGTAACTTCACCCCTTGATCCTACAATAAAGCTGAAGGCACAAGAAGGAAACCTATTACCAGACCCTCAATATTACAGGAAGTTAGTGGGAAAACTCAATTTCCTCACCAACACCAGGCTGGATATAGCTTATAGTGTACAGCTCCTTAGCCAATTTATGTAGGCACCAAGAGATACTCACTTAACAACTGCATTTCACCTTCTTAGATACTTAAAGAAGGAACCTACTCTAGGTGTGTTCTTCTCAAACAATCCTGACTGTACAATCAAGGCATTTTGTGATTCAGATTGGGCAGCATGCCCAGATTCCAGGAGATCTGTCACTGGTTACATAGTTTTGGTGGGAGACAGCCCTATTAGCTGGAAGTCCAAGAAGCAAGAAACTGTCTCCTTGTCCTCAGCTGAGGCTGAGTATAGATCCCTCAGAAAGGTAGTTGGTGAATTGGTTTGGTTGAACAGGTTATTTGCTGAACTCACTGTTATCCAGTCATGTCCTATGTAGGTGTTTTGTGATAGTCAGTCGGCTATACACATTGCTCACAATCCAGTGTTTCATGAAAGGACAAAGCACATTGAAGTTGATTGCTATTTTGTTAGGAACAAATTGCAAGAAGGCCTAATTTCTCTACATCATGTACCTACTCACCATCAGTTGGCTGACATTCTCACAAAGGCTCTCACAGGGGTCAAGCACTCAGCTGTCCTCAGCAAGTTGGCAGTGAAGACCTCACTTCCAACTTGAGGGGGGGTATTGAGTATATTATTATTGATTTATGTAATGCAATGCATTCAATAGTTTAGTTAGTTAGTGTATGTACAGTTAGTCATAGTCAATGTATTAGCTTTAGTCATAGTCAATGTATATACATACACACATGCGTGTACTGTTCAACTTAATAGATGAAATAATATTCATTGGAAATATCTCTGCTTCTCCACTCTTTCTTCTCTTCTTTGTTCTCTCAGAACATTCTAGAGAACTCCATGGGAGCTTCATCCATTCAAGCTCTCACATGCAACTATAGATAGAAACTTGCTTTGCTTATTCAATCAAAGTAATCTTTCTTGCAGAATCAGTATGCTTAGGTCTTACTCTGTTAAAAACACTACAAAACGTATCTTTGACTTTGTATTTTTGTTTTATCGACAAATTATTGGAATGAGGTGACGCCTTTCTTGTAACGTTTTAGAAAAAGATAATACAAAGTCTTTAAACGATTATTAATATGCAACGGATGGGTATCAAAGGTTTTTGTAATTAAATAACTTTTGACGTTGAGCTAAATAAGTACAACTATGTTTTTTCATGGTAGTGTCAATTTCGTATTTTACGTGCAAGAGCTAATTTGTATTAAACTACAATATAGTTTTAATTTCATATTTTTCTTGCAAGAGATAACATGTATTAAACTGCAATCAGACCTTCTATTATAACAGCATCCATGTATAACAATCATTTAATTTTACTATAAAAGTCAAGTTTTTTTTCAGAATCGATTTTTTACCTTCTATCATAACAACATCCATGTATAACAAACATTTACTATAAAAGTCAAAAAAAAAAAAATCAAAATCGATTTTTTATTTTATATTATAATATGTAACCTATGTAACAGACACAGCTATTATAGAGATGTTTGATCGTACAATAAAGATACAGGTTGCATATTCTTCATTTTCGAATTTATTAGCATTTTGTTACTTTGGATAATCAAATTTTGGCTAACAATCCTATTCAAAAGAACTTGAAACTGTTGGGCAACGGCACAAAATCGTTTATAGGGTTTCAGCCTTTCAGGATTTGAATGTGTTTCTCCTAGAATTAGAGTTGGATTAGGATGGAAGATATATTTAGCAAGTTGTAGTTCTTTTTCTTCCATGTTCCATGATATAGGGCTGTGCATAATTTGGTAAATATCGTACCGAAACTAAAAAATTTGGTATTTGGTATTCGATATTTTGGTATGTATTTGCGATGGTATTTGATTTAAATTTTTAAAAATAATTGATATTAGGTATGATATTTGGTATTTTAAAATGAATACCGAAATGCTGATACCATATCGAAATAGATATTATACGGCACAAAACACATATTATTAGTTATAACAAGACATTTCTAATGATCAAATTTATTTCTTTATGTATAGCTTTCTCTTTCTGGGTTGATATTTGCTGGTCTTGGACAAAACTTTTATCAACAACCGTTTTTTATTTTGTACTTTTGAGTACTTTAATTAAGAATATTACAGTCTATGACTTTACACACTAATTAGTATTCACCGAATAAATCGAAGTTATCGAACCAAATAAACCACTAATTACCGTACCATACCGACGAACACCCCTACCATGATAGAGGATAAATTTTTAAAAAAAATGTTTTTGAACTTTTCAACATACAAGTGTAAAAAATATCTAACACAATCAATTTATTTAAAAAAATTGCAAATAGAATTATTTAATATTATTAATTGGTAGTTTAGAATAGATGAACTTATTTGCCTTTTTCTTTTTTAATGAATTGCTTTATTTATTACAGTTGAAATCAAAGGCTCACCCAATTGTTCTCTTATGCAACTTGTCTATTCAACAAAAGGTTGATGTTCCCACTAACTCTAACAATGGTATACCTAAGCTATTTTATAAGCAGTATCATAATTTAAAGAAATAGACTAAACACTATGCTAATAAGCACTGTCATTTGCTATATTTATCCTTAATATTTTTATTTTATTTTCCTACACATATTTAATAAAAAAATTCGACAAAGCATTCCATGACATGCCATACAAAAAGGTGCGTATGCCCTAAGAAATATGTGAGTGGATTTGTCATTCCCTTTTTCTTTTCTTTCCAAGTAAGTGGGTTGGGTCATTCCATTAAAGCTTTAACTATGCTTTGGACCAAAAGTGAAATTTCTATATCCCAAAGTAACCTCTTTTAATAAACATAAAGGTTTATTGGTCATCCGTCTCATGCTTAAGGCCTAAGCTACAAAGACAGACCCAGAATGATCGACTCATTTTTTAGATATTATCATCTAACATTTTACACTTTAGAAATTATAGGTTTAGAATGTAATTTGCTTTAAAATAGTAAGTTCAATGAACCCCTTATGCACACTACATCCACCGCTCTGCTAAGGTAACATTTTAGCCCTTTTTCTCGATTTACCATAACAGGGTCTCCAAAAATGGACATTTCAAAATTGTTAATGCTAGGTTTTTGGATAAAAACAAATTTAAAGAAAATTGAAAACAAAGATGTGGGGAAAATGATTGTTGAAAATTTCCAGTGAAATAGATGAAACACAACTGCCCATCTTCCCCATAAATTAATTTTGCAGAGAACACTTTCGATCAAAATGCATTATTCATAGCACAACGTCGATACACACAATCCCTGCTTTTTTTCAATTAAATCTAAAAATCATTTCAAGAAGAAGAAAATCTATCTAAGAAATAAACAATAATGCAATTAACTGAGGCTGTTTTCACAAATCCCTTAACCCTCAAGAGCATTGACAGTATTCGGAGAAATAAAGTGTTTGGCTTGAGAGAGCAGGGGTAAAGCATGTTTATATAGCGAAGGGAAGGAAAGGGATTAGGGTTTGAGTGTACTATTACCAAATTACCCTTCCGGTTACATTGTAAAGCGGTGCTGATTAAAACAGCCAATTACAATGTAAAGGGGCAATTGGACTAAAAAAGTGGATCATAGTTGCAACTTGCAACCCATCCAATTTAGAACATAATTTTTATTTTCGTTATGTTATACTCCCTTCGTTTTAATTTAGATGATTTAGTTTATCTTGGCATAAAGTTTAAGAGAAAAAATAAGACTTTTGAAATATGTGATCCAAAAAGTTTAAGGATCATTTGGTAGGATGCATTAGATAAAATAATGCATATATTAGCTTTGTATATTAAAAATACCTTATTTTGTACACTTTTTGAACATATGCATTAGTTATACAAGCATTAGTTATACATCATATTTGGTATTATCCTATGCATAACTAATATAGGAAACCATGGTATTAGCAATGCAATGGGTTTTGATACATGCATTAGCTTAGTTAAAGATAAAATTGCCCTTCAAAATTATGCTGGATTAAAACATGATATTATATTAATGCAAGTTTGATATAAACTTTGATACTGAAATTGCCCCCGCTATTTATATCTATACAGCGAACGGCTAGACACTTCTATAGTGAGATCTCTTGAACCTATGAAACTCGTGAAAGTGGGTGAACCCCCTGCCCCTTTCCTTGGCTCTCCTTGCACGTATCCCGATTCGCGAGGTGCAATTGAAAGTGGAAATAGAATTCCATATCCGTTGTGATGCTTTGATCCCTCCGGTTCATTGATCTGTGGGCATACGGGTCTTTTCCGGAAATAAACTCCACTAATTTTTTCTTGTAAATTATAAATTTGTACTCTACTACTACATACTGGAATGCACCTTTAATCAGCTCATTTTTTCTTTATTTTTTTAATTCAAACTTTCTTTGCCTAATAATCCAAGAAAGTGAGAATAAAATTACATCCCCAGTAGATAAATAAATACTTAGCATATTTCTTTTTATAAATAAATATCCAATTTTATACTACAATATAGGTAGACAAATCAAATAATTTTTTTAAAATCTTTTTCATATAAAAATATTCCTCAACATATGTTTCTTTTAAAAGATAAAGTGATGGACTAGTTATGAGGGTATTTTTGTAAACAAACAATTCTTTTAGAAATTGTGCAATACTTTAATACATCAAACCAAACAAATGGATAAGAAATATATCAGCATAACTAATGCAAGCTAACTAATACCAGCATTATTAATACACTCTATTGAGCATTATTGTTATGCACTAGCCAAACGACCTCTAATGGGTAAAAGAGTTGTGGATTTATGCATTTGTGTGGTTATAAAAGATTCTCATTAAGAGTACAATGAATAAAATGAAAAGTTTAAAGTTAAACTATTTTCAAATATAAAAATATAATTCAATTTTTCAAACGGATAAATAAACAAAGTATGTCATTTAAACCGAAACGGAATGAGTACTCCATTTGTTTAATTGTCAAGCAAGCCATACAAACAAAGAAAAGAACTTTTTTTTCCCTATGTCATGGTTAGTGTCTCGACCAGACAGGCAGACAACCTAAACTTTTATTTGTATTTTTAAAGTTAGATTTCAGGTTTGGACTACCTCATGTTATTCGAATTGAGTTAAACTTAGGCTTTTATTAGAGGCTTCATTGAGCAAGTTCACAACCCCGATTCTCACCGCGTTGTATTTAAAAATGAAGAGGAATTTTTATAAAGGTTTAGAGTCTAATAATAATAGTTTGCCTAATTATTATTTATTCGTAGCGCCCAAAGCAAAATACAAAAATACTGAAAAATAAAATGATCTTGTAGAGAGTCGAACTATAGATCTGTACTAAGAGAGCTCTATAACCAATTGAGCTACAAGGGCTTGTTGCTCTCTTGTTTCAATTCAAATTAAATGATCTCTTGTTTCATGGATTTGCTATAAATTCAAATATAGCAATGAATTATAAATTCGTTAAAGGTATAGTTACAAATGGTAAATACAGTGTATATGTTAGATGTGTCACGCAATTTTTTCAAAAACAGTCATGTCCGCAAATAAGTAAACTAATACGAAAATTAGTCGATTCATAGAGCAGGCTTGGAGTGGTTGTCTAGGCTGTTTAATGTTATTTTCA